CCACCATGGGGATGTCGTTCTCGTGGGTGTAGGTCACCACCGGAACGGCATTTTGCTGGGACTCATCCCACTCCCCGTANACGCGAGAAAATGAGCGGTACAATGAGAAGTTCCTTTGACTCGATCCCGGAAACGAATGAGAGAGAGACACGGGCTTACAGGTGCCACGTGCCCTAATTCGATGGTCACATGACCTAATTTAATATAGATCATATGGTAATAAGAAGCTGTCCAGGACGTGGCGCCTCAGGTGTCCGAATTAACAACCCCCGGTCATCTGAGGTGAGCGCGTCAGGTGTGCGTGAGTGGGGAGAGAATGGATGAGCCTTGCGTGCGTTAGTGTGAGGGACCTGTCAGCTGACAGGATTTCCAACAGTGTCCACTATAACGTTGCATAGTGAGGCTATTGATTCTTCAATGTGATCTATCTCCAGTAAATTGCGTTTTATAGTTTTCATCGGTAAGGCAAAGCAATGCTTATTCTCGTATTCTACAACTTTTGTTCTCAACCACGTCAATGAATCGATCGAGAGCTCTATTAGGTCATATAAATCTTCGGCCCCCTTGTCACATGGTTCTCTCTTTAATGATATCATAATTACAATGTTATCTTCCATCATTCTCAACGTATCTCTACATTCCAGGACATTCGCGGTAATTGCTTGGGAATTTGGAGGACGTCTACCCTGCGATTGTATCTCGTCATCGTCTGATGTACTTTCGTTATTATCGTCGGGAGCGTCGTGTTGGTCCAGTATCCTGTCTTCAGTATCGCTGTCATTGGATTCAGGTAGAGGAGAACTTAGGTTATCCTGCCCATCGGTTTGGCAAATGTCTGGAACGTCAAGGGTACATCGGGCCCTTCTTTCCACCTCGCTACCTTTGGAGGTAGCAGGGGCAATCATTCGACTTTGATTGATGTCAGAATCGGCCTTGCGTTTGGACTGGTCTGGTAGTCTTTTTCTTTTCTTAAATACTCTTGGGTTGAAATGAGAAATTTCGGGAGAATGAGAGTCACTTTCGTTGTCTCTAGGTCTTTTGGGGTTCCCTGGAGGTAGTTCAAGGAGGGATGGTGTTTGTGGGGATAGGACTTCCGCTGAGGAATGTCTGTCATCTGTGTTGCTATCGGAATCCACGTGCATGCAGTAAATGTGCATGACATTGGCTTGATTAAATTCAAGTTCCTCTGAAATATCTGGGATATTTCTGGACAGAGCGTCTGCGTTAGAATTTAATTTTCCGGGTTTGTAAACTACTTTATAGTCGAAGTCTTCCATATCTAGTCTCCATCTTACGATGCGGGAATTGGGGGAGTCTACGTTTTTAACCCATGTTAGCGGTCTATGGTCTGTTACTAGTATAAATTCGCGTCCATAGACGTATGGACGAAAATATTTTACTGCATAGAAAATTGCCAACATTTCTTTTTCAATTGTGGAGTAGTTCCTTTCGGCTTTTGTTAATAACCTGGAACAAAAAGAAATTGGGAGATCTTTCCCAATTTCTCCTTGGCTCAGTATACCCCCAATTCCGTAATCGCTTGCGTCTATAGTGATTAAAAATGTTTTGCTAAAGTCAGGGTACTGTAATATTGGAGCCATGCACAAGGCCCTTTTCAGAGCGTTAAAACCCATTTCCTGTTCTGATCCCCACGTGAATCTGATATCCTTTCTTAATAGGTGGGTTAAGGGCTTTGTCATGTTCGTGAAATTTGATATAAATCTCCTGTAATACCCGGCTAACCCCAAGAATTGTTGGATTATTTTAGTATTTCTTGGTTGAGGGAAATCTTCAACAGCTTTTATTTTGTCTGGTTTTGGGCGTACGCCCGCAGCTGAAATTATATGGCCCAGGTATTCAATTTTTGGTTGTAAAAAATTGCATTTGTCTGGCTGTAGTTGTAGGCCAGCGTCTCTCAATCTTTTACCTACTTCTAGAAATTTTCGTACATGCTCTTCGATAGTTTTTGAATAGATGACTATGTCATCCATGTACACAAAGACTTCTATGCCTTGTAGGTCTACTAGGACTTGGTCCATTAATCTTTGGAAAGTGGAGGGGGCGTTTTTAAGCCCCAACGGCATACATAAATATTCGTAATGCTGATGGGGTGTAGTGAAGGCCGTTTTGTACGCGTCCTCGGGGTGAATTTTAATTTGGTGGAATCCGCTTGCAAGATCCAACGTGGAGAAATATTCTGCACCACCGAGTTGGTCGATAATTTCGACGATAGTACGCAAGGGATATGCGTCCCCTACGGTTTTTGTATTTAGGTCCCTATAATCGTTTACCATCCTCCATCGTTTATTTCCCCGTGAATCTGGTTTTTTGTCTACTAACCAAACAGGTGAGCTATATGGACTTTCTGATGCCCTGATTAGTTGCCTTTGTTCCAAGTCTTTGACTTGTCTGGCAATTTCCTCTTTATGTGCTGGGGGAAATCTATATATTTTTTTTAATACTGGCATATTATCAGTAGTTATAATTCTGTGGGTTATTTTATTAGTGGCACCCAATATTTCCCCTTTTAGATCCAATAAATCCTGATTATCTTTGATAGCTTTTCCAATGGGGCTACGTACTTTCGGAGTTAAGTCATGAAGATGGACTTCCTTGATGAGTTTTAGAGCCCTTTCTTCTGTTTTTTCGTGAGCTTGGATTAAGTATATAGGCTTAGTGTCTTTGACATTAATTTTTTTCTTTGCTTGTTCATCTAGGGACAGTTCGAGCATCTTGAGGCGTGTCGCCTGCGTGCTTGTGGAATTATCAAACCGTAAGAGGTCTTGTTCTGGTTCTGATGACATCCAAAGACAGTTTAAAATTTGCACCGTAGGAATAGGTACTGTAACTGAATTTTCATTTTGACTTATAACTCTTATGAACGTTTCTCCATTGATATTGACATTTACGTTCCCCCCAGCAGTGATTTTATCTCCTAATTGTATTTCAGGGATAAAACCGGATTCATGGGAGTCACGAGCAACACGGACTAAAAGAGCAGTAACGGTGCCAGGTTTTATTACTTTGACTTGCGGTATGTCAAAAGGGATATGGATATTCTTGAATGAGAATAGTCGTGATTAGTAGCATAAGTTTGCTTTATTCTCTTTGAAGAACTCCGACCCGAGGACCCCGGCATACATTATTGGAAATTCATCTGGGACGATATGGAAGAGACTTGGATGCCCGTGTACCTTGACAATTATTTGTCCCAGTGTATCAATTCCTGTGTTCGTAATGCCGTGAAGCCTCAAGGTGTGTTCCGTATTCATTTGATTCATATTCTTGACACAACCGCGTTTTAGCAAATTTACTTCTGCACCGGTATCTAACATTATTATTGCTGTCCCCTTTAGGTCCGGTGATCGCAACGTGATGGCGGGGACGTTTTCATCTCGGAGTGAGATATGAGCTACTCGGATTTTGGAGGATTCATTTGATTGGACCTTGACGGGATTTGTGGACTCATTTCCCTCTGGGCCCCGTTCGTTTTCTCCCTGGGGGTTGTCTCATTTTTTTGGTTTCTTTTCTTACTCAGGTACTCGAATCTACGACATGCGGTTAGGTCGTGTCCCTTAGTTTTACATATATAGCAGTACGAGTCAGGGTCGTATGATTTTTCTCCTGTTTTTTCTGTCCTTCTGGCTGCATTTAATTTTTTTGAAGCATTTTTCCACGGTGTCATTCTTTAATCCGCAAAAATCACATTTATTTCTGGATTTTTCATTCTTCCCTGTCTCGTCTCGCATTTGGTGATAATCGTTACCGTGAACTCGAGTTGGGTTTTCCTCCAATGGATCAGCAATCATTTGAAAGATGCGTGCATGAGATTTGAATCTATCTATATCTCTGATGTGATTTTTATAAACTGCAATCGCGCTAGTGTAGGCTTGTTCAATGGTGCTATGAGGCTGTAATTTGCACTCTATTCTCAGCAGGGGGGGAATTCCATTTAGAAAAGCAGTGATTGCATCCCCTTCTATTTTCTTTTTCTCAGAAAAGGTTAAGGCTCGATTCTTCTCTTGCTTCTCTAAATTTAGGAAATTCCCGTGAACTGAACGCGATCTGTTAACGTAATCTATTATGTGTTCTTGGGGTCCTTTAGACATATTTTCTAATGCTGCTTTGCATTGATTAACTGTCATTAAGGGATCGAATACTTCTCTAAGATGCATTTCGAGGTTTTGTACGTTGCCATACTTGAGATTTTCTATAGCAGTTCGTGCTCTGCCTCTAAATTTTTGTCTAATTAATTCTAAAAATGTAGGGATAACGTGGTCTGGAAGCATGATACATGCTCGATCACATGCTTTAATGAATTGAGACACTTCTAAATTAGTACCGTCAAAAGTGGGAATATATGCGAGGGCATCTTTGAGGGCTATGTGGACTGTGGGTGTTTGTTCCTGCCTGGAGGGTCTTAATGCAATTCTTTTGACGCGAGCTAATTCTTCTTGGATTTCTGTTATTCGGGAGAGAACCGTTTAATTAAATTCCTGTGATTCATTCGGGGTAAATCCCTCTGGATTGTCATGCATCTCCCTAGACCTCGCGAATAATTCATTTGCGCGTGCTTCTTTTTGGGCTACTAATTTTTCTCTTTCGCCTAATTCTTTTTCTATTGCTGATAACGTCTCAATTTTATTTTGAGCTGTAAGAATATCCCTAGTTTTTATTTCTAACTGGGCCTCTCTTTCGTCTAATGACGTTTGCTTCTTTTTTAATTGCTCCGCGAGCGTCATGAGTTTTTCTTGATCCATGATAGTTTCTTTTGATTAATGAAATTAAAAATGGAAAGAAAAAAAAGGAAAAAGGTGTAGCTATCCCACCGCTGCCACCATTTTGTTACGTCCTGTTTTAATTTGAACGTGAGGGTAAGTGCTACTTTTTCAAACGCAAAAGGTTTGAGGGATTTGCCCGTTTTCCATCATTAATTTTTTGCGTATATGCATTATTTTCTAACCTTTACGGGATTTTTCCAGGTGTCGCAGTTTTTCCTGGAGTCCAGTCAGGAATTTCTGCGTTGACGGAGTGAATCGCAAGGGATGAAACTCTCGAAAGGGTGTCTGGGCTTGTTGGTGCTTGGCCACGTATTCCGTGGTAAAATATCCCTGCGTCTGGGGATGCTGTGTAGCCGGAGGTGCGGTTTTCTTAGTCGGCGGGTGCGATACCGGGTGTTGGACCAACCGGAAGTTGCCCTGGCGGTCCTTGGTGACGCCAATATGTATGAGAGCAGAGCTTGTCACCGTAGGTCTTGCTACAGTGGTACCCAATAAGGCGTCTAGGTCCACTTCTCGTGGAGTATGGTAGATGGCTGCCAATTTTCGGAGCTGGTACTTCCTTCCAGCGCGACGTGTCCTCTTCGGCATTGGTCCAGTCCAAAGGATAGTAGGGGTGAGTTTGTGGTTAAACTAAATTAAGCAATCTTCTGCTCCAATATTTCCGGAATAGGAATGATTGAGCAGTCTTCTGCTCCAATCAATTATTACGTGCAGGGAGAAGAGTGTGAGCAATCTTCTGCTCCACGCTCAGGAATGAGTTAACACTCGGGTTGTTAGGATTAGACTGAACATTTATTTCACATTATTTCGGGTTTTTACACAATATTTGTTTCCTGTTGCAATGTCGGCAGAAAATCTCTATCCGGTGCATACCAGCTAACTCAACGTTTGCTTTTGGCACGTGTGGTGACAACTTAGTATTTTATTATTTCGTTGAGATTTTGTACTGATATTGTTTTATAATATTACCAATTATTTGTATTATTATAATATTAATCTTTCTATTGCGTACAATTTTGTTTTCAATTCATAGATGATTGTACCAGAGAGGATACTCATCGTTGCCGTCGGTCATCCTGTGGGTATCTCGTGTAGCAGTCGGTAACTCGACCGTGGGCACAACAATCGGTAACCCGGCAGTGGATAACCGGCTGCAGCTGACGGTAGGTAATATGTTTCCGTGGATAACATATTATAATGGATAACATGGTGTAGTGATAACTCTGATTCTAATAATTCTTTTCAATATTCATTTCTGGCCGTCACCCATGACAGGTCTTTTATTAATTTATTATTGCTATATTTTATTGTGTTCAGGTGTGATACCCTGTCATTGGCGATGAACCTGTAAGTAAAATCCCGTTTTTTACTCTCTTGAACGTTTAGGTTAATATTTTATCATTTTATCTTGGCTGCATATCAACATATTTAGATTTGTTTATATTATCCTATTAACTGGCTTTTATTTTTGTTTTAGGCCTCAATTTCGGCATGCCGACGAGAAGTGGGGACGTAACACCTGTAGTACCTCTCAGATACCGAAAAATTCTTTTTACCATATCCCAATCACTTTCTTTAGGATTTACTTGATGTCTGCTTATCACATTGATTGCATATGCAATGTCTGGTCTCGTAGCACCAGCCAAATACAAAAGACTACCTACAGCCTCTCTGTAAGGAATGTTTGGCTTTATTTCTGTCCTTTCCAAAGTCCCATTATCATATTCTGTTTCTCTTAATTTTCTCTCATTATTAGCTACTTGAGAAGTATTCATTGGTGTACGTTGTGGATGTGCTTTATCAAAGCCAAACCTACTTAATATCTTTTGAATATATTTTTCCTGATTTAATTTAATAATCTGATTTTCTCTGTCTCGCTTAATAGTCATGCTCAGGAATTCCTTAGGTTCTCTCAGGACTGTCATTTCAAATTCGCTACATAAATTACTCTTTACATTAGCCAATTTATCGTTATCATTACTCGCCAATAACATATCATCTACATAAAGTAGCAGAAGCAAGAACTTGTCTTCATCTCGCCAAGTGAATAAACAAGGTTCTAAATCCGAGTTCTACAGACCCATACTCAAAGCTACTTCAGTGAATTTTACATTCCACCGTTTGGGACTGATACGAAGACCATAAACTGCTTTCTCCAATTCGCACACATTTTCTTGCCTATCTTTGTCAGTATGATTAGTTCCTTCTGGAATTTCTATGTAAATTTCCTCATCTATTACACCATTGAGGAAAACAATTTTAACATCTAGCTGACACACCTCTAGATTATATTTGTTTATAATTGATATAACTATTCTCACTAAAGGTAAACGAGCTACTGGAGCATAAGTTTCCCTTAATTCATAAATGTTCTTATTCTAGAAACCTCTGATTACTAGTCTCGCTGTGAATCTTATTTTTCCATTTGCCTCATTTTTACACTTAGAAACCCATTTTGAATCAATGACATTTAATCTTTTTCCATTCATCATACTTGGAGGTCTTTTGACAATTTTCCATACTTGATTTGTTTCTAACGAGTTTAATTCTTCATCAACCGCATTTAACCAATAATCTTTATTTTTATTATTTATAGCTTCTCGATAATTTGAAGGATCTTCATTTATGCTTGACCAAAGTGCATGATACACTTCATCTTCCTTTTCTGATAAATCTATCTCGCCTACATTACTGATAACACTAGTGAAGAAAACGTTTCCTTTCACGTTCTCATTAATTTCCAACTCTGAAAAGCTATTATCATTTATTGTTTTATCTTTTATATCAACTGTCTTCACTTTCTTGGTAATGTTTTGTTCTGAAACTTCTTTCCTTGGTCTACCTCTGTTGCGTTTTATCTCTTCCTCCGGTTTTGAAGAATCCTCGGCCTCACCTCGACTCTTTTCGAACTCAACAAACCATTCATCTTTATTCTCCATTTCTCCATATTCTGGGAAATCTTTGATACCGTTTCCCTTGTATTTATCCCCATACACTAATTTTTCATTGAATTTAACATGTCTACTTTCATAATATTTTCCTAGCTCTGGCTTTAAGAGTTGATACCCTGTTGGAGTATATCCAACCAAGACCATACCTACACCTCGAGGTCCAAACTTTGGGCCAGCATTTCTAGCAATTTTTACATAACTTAAACTACCGAATCTTTTGATTTGATTAATATCAAAGCTGTGATCAGGCGCGAATCTTTCTAAAGGAGTTATCATATTGTTTGATTTATGTGGAGTCCTATTTTAAGCATAAACTGCAGCAGTTAAGCCCAGATCCCACATGCCCTTTGGCAGTGTCGAGTCAAACATATAACATCTCACCTTTTTCTGGATAGTTTGATTAAATCTCTCAGCGACACCATTGTGTTCAGGTGTATCAGGGGAAGCTAACTGTAATTCCGCCCCTAGACCCTTAAGAACTTCAACTGTATGCCCGCCTGTATACTCTGTTCCCTGATCTGATCTAAGTCAACACACTTTCGCGTCATAACCCAGTAAATTACGCGCACTTCTGATGAACATCTCAAGACAACGTCCTGTGTCACTTTTCGCCTTCATTGGATAAGCCATAGCGAATCTTGAGAAGTCATCGATGAACACAGACATAAATCTGTATCCCTTAGGATGAGAAATTGGAGTAATAGGCCCCATCACATCTGAGTGAACTATTTGCAATGGTGCTGTTGCTCGCCTGCGCACCGATGGGAATGATAATTTATTGAATTTAGACGTTAAGCACACCTCACAATCTCTAATGAATTCATCATCAAATTTTACTGCATTTAATTCTTTATTATCTGGGAATTTCTTTTGTAATGCCTTGAGGTAACTCGTTGAGGCCATGTCCAAATCTACAATGCCACAACATGACATTCTGATTCTTCAAATAGCTATATTTATCAATTGAAAGTTTTGGAAGAACTTCTACCGAATCATCCCATGGTAATTCATCAACATCTTGCAATTTCCTGTCCCAAATGGTGTAATCAAAATTTGATTGTTCATGGGGAATCTTTTCTTTAGTAATTATTTTCTCTTTTATTAAGTTTTCACTCCTTTTTTTATTTTGCCTTTCTTCCTTTGGCTTTTCTTCAATTTTATTTTCTTTCTCATTACTGTTATCAATTTCGTCTCTTCTCTCACTTGTTTCATTCTGTAAATTTGCTGTGACACTTCTGGTAAGATATCTTTTCACCTCATTCTCGTCCCCAGTGACATCAGCAACATTTGCTACTATTCGACTGTTTATTTGTTTGAAAGAATTCTTGCTGATAGAGTTTGACTTTACTATTTCTAAATCGATTATTCAGTAAGGTTTTCTATAAATTCCCGACATGCAAAGTTCATTGGACAATGGATCAAATATATCAATTTTCTTGTCATCTAAGTAGATTGCTAATCCCATTTCGGCAAATTTTCTTAATGATAGTAGATTTGGTTTAAGAGCTTCTGCAAAAATAACTTCGTCAATTTCTGGTAATTTATCACTCGCCAGTTCAATTTCTATTTTTCCTGCTCCCTCCATTTTTAAGTCCGCTGACTCATTTTTATTCGCACACCTAATTACTCCACAATTTGATTGATTTCGAGATACGCGATAGCGTATCGGCCAAGAAAAGTTTTGACCGACTGAGCAAAACATCAGGCCGAACGCACCGCGTATCTATACACGAAGCAACTACCCCCTCCACTACCACCGAAACACATTTATTGAATAAAATGAAAACGTGATACCCTACGAAAAAAAAACCTTAGTTACATCACATAAATCGGCCACGAGCTTTCCATNATTTCGTTGGAATTCTAGGAGTTTCTAAAAATTCCGAGGGAATTGAGAAACTTCTACAAATTTCGAGGAAATTCAGGGATTCTTAGAAAATTTTAGAGAATGCAAGGAGTTTTTAGAAATTTCGAGAAAATTTAAGGAGTTTCTAGAAAATTTAAGGAAATGCAAGATTCTAGAAATTTCGAGAAAAATCAGGTTAGTTTCTGGAAATTTTAAGTGAATTCAAGGAGTTTTTAGAAACTCTGAAGAAATTCCCGGAATTGCTAAAAAATTGAATAAAATTCTTAGGTGTTCTGGAAATTTGAATAAAATTTGAGTTTCCCAAAATAAT